GGGGTCCGGTGCGCAGGGCCCCGGCCACCGGGCGCTCGCCTGCGAGCCCCAACCCCGGGCCTGGCTCCAGGGTGGGGCCCCGGTGACGCCAATCCGGGCGACGTGAACCTCTTTGATGTGTTTGTTTTCTTCATCAAGGGGGGAGGGGGGGTTGCGATTCAAGGAGGGGGAGTCCAAAGCGGATAAGACAAATATGAAGAATGAAAGATGAAAGTTGTCCTTTTCACCAACTGCTGCATTTTACAAAATTACAGATCCTACAGCAAGCCGCAAGTGAAAGAAATATACATTTATCTTATGCTAAAATGAAAAAAAAAACAAAAAACAAAAAACAACAACATATTGTTAGCTATACTTTATCTGTAAACCACAGACCTGGCCACATTTAATTCTAACCTGGGTTCTAAGAATCACACTAAAACAGTTAGTTGGCAAATCAACAACAACTACAAAACTGTGGTTTGTATAATTATAATGAATTACAAAATAAAATAAAAAAATAGTTTATTTCATTAATGGTGTGATGGAGGTGGAGTGTAGGGGACCCTTGACAAAATCTGGAGTACGCCAGCCCCCAAAAGAGTTTTTATGGATGACCTAACTGTCACCACCACATCTGTCCCAGGCAGTAGATGCATTCTCCAAGGCCTAGAGAAGCTCATCACATGGGCAAGGAGCTTTAAGGCAGCAAAATCCAGGTCTCTAGTGCTCAAGAGGGTAAAGGTAACAGACAGGTTCCGTTTCTCTCTGGCTGGAGCCACCATCCCTTACATCACAGAGCAGCCAGTTAAGAGCCTCGGGAAGTTCTTTGATTGCAGCCTCAAAGATTCCACATCCATCCAGAGAACCAGCAAGGAGCTCGAGGTCTGGCTGGGACATGTTGACAAATCAGGCCTGACAGGGAGATTTAAGGCTTGGTTTTACCAACATTCCGTCCTGCCCCGGATCCTATGGCCTCTGCTAGTGTACGCAGTACCCATGACAACTGTTGAGGCCATGTAGAGAAAGATCAGCAGCTACTTGTGAAAATGGCTTGGCCTACCCCACAGCCTGAGCAGTGTTGCCCTGTACCGAAGTAGTAACATCTTGCGGCTCCCGTTCAGTGGACTCACTGAAGAGTTCATGGTGGCTGGCATCCAGTTGAGAACAGGCAAGAAATGGAGGGCAGACGATGCTCTGGAAGTGGCAGACTCCCGACTAAGGCAGAAGGTGCTGAGGCTATGGGGTCCATAGCCTCAGGGCGCGCAGGGATTGGCTATTTCCCAGCAACCAGGGTGGACAAAGCTCAGGGAAAAGAGGGCCAACACCTCATCCAGGAGGAAGCGCGGGCAGGCGTGGAGGAAGAACCAGTCCGACCAGATATAATCATTGTCTCAGATTCCACCAAGCAGCTGATCATTCTGGAACTCACAGTTCCCTGGGAAGAGCGCATGGAAGAGGCCAATGAGAGGAAGCATGCCAAGTACCAGGAGCAGATGGACGAATGCAGGAGCCAAGGCTGTAAGATATACTGTGAACCCCTGGAGGTGGGTTGCCGACGATTTGCAGGGTGGACCCTCTGCAAAGTCCTCACTATGCTGGGCCTCACAGGGGAGGCAAAGAGAAGGGCCATCAGATCTGCAACTGAAGCTGCAGAGAAACCCACAAGATGGCTTTGGATCAAGAGGGCAGATCCGTGGGCAAACGTTGCTGGGACACAGGCTGGAGTCTGATCACCTCCGGCCGGGTCGCCTGGGTGTGGGTGTCTGATGATTGAAAGACCCGAAACACCCAGTGACCCCAGGTGACATCACTGATGATGTGTCCTAGCATATCTGCAAGATGTATCTCTCAACTGATGTCTGTCATTCAGTGCATCTCTTACAAAGAATCACTTTGGACATGGTCAGGTGGTCTGGAATTGAACCAAGAACCCGACCACCAATGGGTAATGCACATGTAAATGACTGGATTACTACTGAACCATTATGGTTGCAGTTGGACTCTCACTAACTCACACATACACACACACCAGTGTGCCCCTGTATGGCTCCGAGTGGAAAGTGACTAATTGTTATTGAGTGGCACTGACCCTGTGACTAGACCTGCGTCCACTGACACATGATTCAGTTAGAGATCAAAACGTCCCACTGTGTGACTATAATGAGGCCATAGGCTGTCTGGAGTATCATCAACATTTAAAAACTCTCACCCCAGGAGGACGGCCGTCGTGGAGTGGCTTTTCGAACAAAAAAGGATTCATTTTAAAATCGTGACTCAACTCAGGTGAAAGCTTTAATCATCTTAGAGCTCGAAGATTAACATGACCCCTGAGGAAAAATAGGATGCATTTATCAAGTTAACTATTTGTCTAGTATATATATATATTATAAGAGGGTTAAAACCTTTTCCACATCAGCACCAAAACATGTTTATCTACTCTTTGGCCTATGTCCAGTCTTTTCTTAAAACCCTGTCATCTCGCACAGAAATAAAACACAATGTGAGTAAAAAGCTACAAATGCATCATGGTGCACACTAGAGACTTACAGCTTCACTGTGTCAGAATAAAAGTTAGAATAAAAATAAAATCAGCATGTTAAAAGAGCCATTCCTGTGTAAATGAATAAAAAAAAAAGTGTTGTGTTTGACAACACAGTGTTCCCTCTCTATATCGTAGCTTCCCTTTCACTCCTTCAGTACATTGCTTTTTTTTTTATTTGATCTTGAATAAAGGGACTAGGAAGATTTTAATGCTGTGTTGCATATGTAATGATATTTTGAAAAAGTGCCAAGTAAATGGTGCTACGTTAGATGTGTATTTTATTCTGAAGTGTTTCTCAATCAGCCCAGTGTCATCTTCCTAGTCTGACATTACTGCACATGTCTAACTGAGTTATATCAGTGTGTGTTGGCTCAGGGGCCATATGGAGGTTGAACGTGTTTAATCTGCTGAGTCATTGTTTCCACTAAAGAAGAAATATAATAGCGTAATAATAAATACACAACTATGTGATACTATTCCGAATGTCTGCATCGTGCAGTACAAAGACTGAAGGTCAAAGCAGTGACACGTGACTCATGTACTGGTTCATAAGATCACACACACAACAACAGTATTGTCATCTTTATGTTAAAATTATATTTGCCATAGGAAATAATAACTCAGATTTACGTAAACAAAAAAACATTGAACATGCAGTGGAGAAAATGACATAAATTGAATGAATGATGCTTATATAAATTAAAGATAAAGAAATAATTACCTCCAGCTTGATTTTACACATTGTTTATACCTGTGCAGAACTGTCCTGTTGACTCACACAGCATCACACTTTATTTGCTAAGAGTGATGGGAAAATAATCAAGGGCATGTGCTGTTCTATGTGAATTGATAGTATTGTCATTTAGCCTGACATGATAAAATTATACCTTACATTGTTATATATGGAGAGGTTAATACTAAGTTCTAGTACACGTACTGACTTTTACAATACTGTTTCATCAGACAGTGTCACCATGATGTGTGACATGTTACTTATATGGATACATAATACATGTGGACAGAGAACAGAGCATGGTGATGGATGAATGGATGGTTGGGTGGATGGATGGATGGATAGATAGACAGATAGATAGATAGATAGATAGATAGATAGATAGATAGATAGATAGATAGATAGATAGATAGATAGATAGATAGATAGATAGATAGATAGATAGAATCTATCTATCTTTCTATATTTTTATCTTTTTTTTTCTAAAGGGAAAGCAAACAAACATGGGCAGTTATTTGTGACCAGAAAGATAAAAAGAACACTGAATATTTGCTGCACAGAAAAATCTGCTCTTTAGTAATTTTGAGGGGATTTGTAACAGCACAAAACATGCTTTTACTGTCCTCAATGACTTGCTATTGTTGTTTCAATGGTTACAGGAGAAGAATGATTGTTAGAAGTCCCATTCTGTAAATCCCATTTTTCTTCTTACCTACATCCCACTCAATTGTTAGGATTCACAACAAATTGGTTTTCCAAAATAAATAGTTGCCTCTAAATGTTTTTGCTCTGATGTATTCTTCTATTCTTTAAAGTGCTGACTTTTAGCATTTTTTATTTCTATTTGTTGTACTTGTTGCATTAACAATAAACTCTATTCTGATCTACAGTACTTCTACTATTACTACTACTTCTGTGACCCACCCTAACTAAGTATTTTCCAAACAGAGGGTCTGATCTAAATGTTGTGCAATCAACTGTGAATTTCTGAACACAGCAAAGCCTTGAGTCTTGTTGATATTACTATCACTCATTATTCTTAATGCCATACAACAGACTACAGTAGAACTTGATTCTAAGAACACAAGTGTACATTTTCACTACGCATTTGTTAAACTGCAGAAGCCCACATGTACACCACATGTTTACCTACTGTATATTTTCTTTAATAAAACTAATATACAAAACCCAATTCCATTGAAGTTTGTATTTAACGTAAATGAAAACAGAATACGATGAGTTGTTTTCTTTTTCTTTTTAACCTATATTCAAATGAATACACTACAAAGACAAATGTTATTTATTTATGTTCAAACTGGTAAACTGTTTGATTTCTTTGCAAATATTACCTCATTTGGAATTTGATGCCTGCAGCACGTTCCAAAAAAGTTGGAACGGGGCATGATTACCACTGTGTTATCACCTTTCCTTTTAACAACACTGTTTGGGAACTCTGGACACAACTGTTTAAGATTTGTAGGTGGAATTATTTCCCATTCTTGCTTGATGTACATCTTCAGTTGTTCAACAGTCCGGGATCTCTGTTGTTGTATTTTATGCTTCATAATGCGCCACATATTTTCAATGGGAGATGGGCCAGTCTAGTACCTGCACTCTTTTATTACAATGCCACACTGTTGTAACACATGCAGAATGTGCCTTGGCTTTGTCTTGCTGAAATAAGAAGGGGCGTCCATCAAAAAGATGTTGCTTGGATGGCAGCATGTGTTGCTCCAAAACCTGTATGTACCTTTCAGCATTAATGGTACACAGAGGTGTAAGTTACCCATGCCATGGGCACTAACACATGCCCATACCATCACAGATTCTGGCTTTTGCGCATGCGTCGATAACAGTTCAGATGGTTCTTTTCCTTTGACCCGGTGGACACAACGCCAACAATTTCCAAAAACAATTTAAAATGTGGACTCGTCAGACCACAGAACACTTTTCCACTTTGCATCAGTCCATCTTAGATGAGCTCGGGCCCAGAGAAACCGGCTGCGTTTCTGGGTGTTGTTGATAAATGGTTTTCACATTGCATAGTAGAGTTTTAACTTGCACTTAATGATGTAGTGACAAACTGTATTTACTAACAGTGGTTACAAGTATTCCTGAGCCGCTGTGGTGATATCCTTTACACATTGATGTCGGTTTTTGATGCAGTGCTGCCTGAGGAATCGGAGGTCACGGGCATTCAATGTTGGTTTTCGGCCTTGCCACTTACGTGCAGTGATTTCTCCAGATTCTCTGAACCTTTTGATTATATTTTGGACCGTAAATGATGAAATCCCTAAATTCCTTACAATTGTACGTTGAGAAACGTTGTTCTTAAACTGTTTGACTATTTGCTCACGCAGTTGTTGTGAACCTCAGAGCATTCCAGGGAAGCTCCTTTTATACCCAATCATGGCACCCACCTGTTCCCAAATAGGTGTTTGATGAGCATTCCTCAACTTTCTCAGTCTTTATTGCCACCTGTCCCAGCTTTTTTGGAACGTGCTGCAGGCATCAAATTCCAAATGAGGTAATATTTGCAAAGATATAAAACCAGTTTGAACATTAAATATTTTGTCTTTGTAGTGTATTCATTTGAATATAGGTTAAAAAGAATTTGCAAATCATCGTATGCTGTTTTTATTTACGTTTAACACAACGTCCCAATTACAATGAAGTTCAGACATTGTGTGTCAAAAAGAATAAATACACAAACAGAAATTCACAAATGCATTTGGAATATTTACAAATGTATTTTGAAAATTCACAAATGTATGTGTAAAATTTTAATTCGTTTTATAAAATACATTAGTTAGTTACATAAAATATATTTTATGAAACTAACTTACTTGTGTGTAAGTAAATTTAAAACGCTTTGTTTACTCAGCCTTGTACGAAATTCATGTTACATCCAAACGTTCTCCATTGCTGCTTCCAGATGCAATTTCTGTTATGACAGATGGATCTGTGTATCAACGTCACACACGGCCCCTCATGGGGATACAGTTGTGTGATTGGCTGCAAACGAACAAGACATCTGATTAGCTGCTGACGGGCCTCATGTAGAAAAAATGTGGTCTGTGCTAGACTAGTCTCAAAAATCCACAAACAAATGCAGGAAGATTTACAAAAGAAAAGCACATTATAAAACTAACAAATATCTTCACCTGCACTTTTCAATTTTCAAAATGCATTTGTAAATATTCCAAATAAATTTGTGAATTTTCAAAATACAATTGTGAACCCTTGTTGGTGTATGGAGACTGTTCTAGCTCCGTAGCGCTAGGTCATAGGTCAGGAAAAACATGTTTCACAAACTCTCCATCCCTCGGAATGTTAAATTCCAGCGGCAAAAAGTCAGATTGGAATCCCATCCAAACCAAAAAAGGTTCTGCATGGGTCTTTTCAAAGACTGATTATCCAGAATGCTCAGCAATTCCTCTCCCTTCATAAAGCACATAGATTTTGCTGTTGCTGTGAGTCAGGATCTGTTTTTTGTCATCTTCTGTTGGTTTTCCTTCTCCTGGGGTTTGTCATTGGGTAACCACAATTATAACGCTTCACTTTGTGCTCATTTGTTTTGCCAGCAAGGCAAATCTGGAAATCACAAACCCTCTGTGCATCACTGAGACTGTAGCGTCTCTGCCTGCTTGGGTCCATGGATGTTTAATTGGAGCAGGTATTGATGTTCTTGCCATCTGCAGCATCTTCCACGAGTGCTAAGTGATAATCTGTGGACAGCGTGAAGTGAGACACGCAGCCTACCAGCCCACCGATATACTGTCTGTTTGTGTGAAGAGCTATTTCCGTCATTCCACCTGTAGACAGAAAACAGAAAATTCTAAATGCTAAAGAGAAAAATTCCTCCTCAAATGTGTACTTCTCTATATTCACCTAAGACTATTTTTATTGAGGTGCATTGTTTACTCCACTTACCAACATATAAAGGTCCGTTGATATTAAGTTGTCTCATCTTCCCAGGTGACCTGCCTGTCTTAGCTCCATAGTCATCTACTGTTAGTTTCCCTGATTGTCCCTCCCTAAAAAAAAATAAATTATTTTGACCTATGAAATACTGCAAACTGTGGGAAATATATTTTGGTTTTATATATTTTGGTTATGTTATTATTAAAATTAAAATAAATAAATAAATGAAATAATTAGATTGTGTACAACAATATATACATATTGAATAAAAACATCAACCTAATTGATTACGGCAAACAGTGGATTCACATGGAAATCATTTACAGTATAATACAAATGTGAACAACAGGAAGATTTAACACAGATAAATATTTTGCCTTTTACCTCACCATAAACTATTCCTGTGATATTGTAAACATCATTGTTAGCATATTGGTACATACTGTATATTCATGTATTTATGTGCTAGTCAGAGAAGGTACATTTGTATCTGTAAGTCTCTACTGCCCCCAAATGGACAATCCCACAATTTCTCTAATTCTCGAATACTGTGTATGTGTCTTAATTTCGTTACATAGAGTAAAAAGGTGGTTTTTTTTTTAATCGGACTTACCTTGCAGCCTTTACTCTGTGCCACTTTCCATCATTAAATGTCCCATTGACAACAATGTTGGCAGCCCCACTGCCCAGATTATAACTTGGAAAAACATTGTGAAACAACTATTTTATTGCTACAAAAAAACATGTTTTTCATGTATGGTGGCCATTAACAGCCAGATACATTTTAGACAAGCACATAAACAAGTACCTGAAAATGAGAGCACCATCCTGAAGCCCCATAGACAGGAAGTCACTGTTGGGTCGCATGGGACTGTCTCCTCTCCACAACAACAAACCATCTTTAGCTGTGCTTTTGAACCGCATAAAAAAGTTGGTCCTAGATCCAGAAACTCTAAAAAAATAGATAGTAGTTATATATAGTATAAATAATAGTTAAAAGATCAATTTTTACTATAATTTTTGCTACAGTGTAATAACTTTATAATATTATAACAAAAGCTGAAGTTACTGGTCATGTAAACATATGAAAAGCTTGCATTCATTTTTTATAGAAGACTTTTTCTTGTAAAGGAAAAAATGATGAATACAAATATCTTAATATAGTAAATTAATTACTACGGTATTTGCTTCGTAGTACATATATATTCTTTAACCAAACCTCTTTAAGATATCTTTGTTATCATAGGTCAGGTAACTTCGTCCAATAAACTGTGGAATCTCAATGGCTTCAGTCACAGCTGTGCGGATAGAGAAGAAATTTATTTACTTCATATTGACACAAGGTGGTAGTATTACCACGTATTTACAGGTTAAAGCCGCGTGACGAGTAGTTTTTGAAGGTTTTGAAGGCATGTTGACATATTCCGTTTCCGTTATAAAATTAACTTACTGTTCAAACAGTAATTTCCACACTCTGCTCAGCGGAAGCATTAAACAACAAAGAAGAATAGGTAAGGGGAATATATATATATACATA